GGGTGGAGCAAAAAAATAATATTATTTTTTACTATATAATACCTAAGAAAAGTTGTCTCTACATATATTAAGCTATTTTTTGAAATTTCAATTTAAAAACCAAATGTTTTCAGGGCTCTACCTCCCATCAACAATTGAAGGGTATAGAGGAAAAACGGGCTAAGTCAAATTTAATGATTTTGAAATAAATCAATTTTAAATTTCAAAAAGGTGTAATTCTTGTTTTGTCCACCGCAGGAATCACAAAACAAATTCTAGTGTCTTATATTTAAATTAATATAATTATATACAAAGTGATTCAGTAGAGGAGAATCATTATCACTGGCGATGGTTTTTGGGTATACATAAAAGACACTTCTTGAGTCAGAGAGAACGTGAACGTTGAACAAATAATTGGACAACTGTCTCTTGTAGTATACATCATTAATAGGAATTTTGGGGATAGGAAAATTTTAGTCTATACAGATTGACTCTTTTACGTTTGATTTACGACTTGAAAGCTTTGATTCCATTTTAATTGAATAAAATGATTTTGCTTTACATAAATGCAGGTCATGTGATGTGGTCAGTTGTTTTATTTCAGCTGTTATGTCTTCTTTCTTTGTTTGATCTAGGTTTTGGTTTTCATGCTAAGTGATATTATTTCATTTATTACTCCGTTTTATTAGATTTTTCGGGAAAATATGAAAATTCAAGTAGGTAGGTGTAGAGCCTTGAGGATGACATTATAAAAAGACAATAAAATAGCCCGTTAATCATTCTTACATTTAGCAACTTTTCCGCACTATTACGTTTCGAAAATAAAATAAAAACTATTTTCTTCCTGTTTCACTCTACCCCACTACGCATATTCATTTTTTGGACCCACATTTTTTGATTATTTTTTCTCACCTGATATTTCAATGTATGTTTTAGAAAAAATAAAAATAATATGGATTTTAAAAAACATTTACATATACACAGAGTGTTACGTTTTTGCTTACAAATTAAAAAATGTTTTTTTAAATTAAACGCACCCTCTATTTATTTCAGTTATAGAATGTTCTGGTAATACGGTATTGAAAGATATTACAGGGTTGCCAAAAAATATTTTTTTTTATGAAATTATAAGTTTTTTTTTATAAAGATACCTTTTGGAGTAGCTACCTATTATGCTGTTATTACAGCTAGTCTTAGAAGACTAACCATTAAATATTTACATCTAACACTTCAACTAGAGTCAATCCAATGATGTTTTCGAGATTTTTCTAAATTATTTATACACTACACTTTGTTTTACATAAAGCGATTTACACAAGATCTATTTGCTTGGTTCTCTTCATTCTTTGGACATAATGTTGGGATTGTTGGGTGTTCAGCAACTGTCCATTCTCATAGAGGTGGATCCTGGCTTCATGCTTTCCGGCGAATCTTTTAGGTAGGTAAAGGTAAGCAATGATTTCAAAATTGTTTAAATTACATTTTCAGTTCAACATACTCAATTTTTTAAATGCAACACCCTGTATGTAATTTTAGTAATAAATTCGTTATAAATTTACCCATATAACGACACTTACGTGTTAGCCTATTATACATATACAGGGTGTCCCATCCTTTATTGCGTACTTGATTAATAGTTGTTTTATTATTGAGATAAAAAGTTATATCCACGCAAGATTGCTAAAACTTATCCCAAGCACTCTAGCGCGTTTTTTCTAGTATCTAGCACTAATTATGTCAAAATTTACAAGAGTAAAGTACCCCTTGGAGGCGATGGGAGAAAAAAAGGTTTCACCTGGTAAAAAGGTATTGGGATAATCATTGTGTGTAGAGTTTTAGCAATCTAGCGTGTTTTTCCTATGTTATGTTATGTTGATAATGGGGTGTTAATACACTGCGACCTAAAAGATCTATTGTGCCCCCTTCTGTCGCCACTGCACTAAGGAATTGTCTCAATGCCTATAGCGACCCTTCCAATCCTATTTTCTCAAGGAAGTGTAGGATTTGAAGTGGCTTCAAGTTAGGTAAGTCTCCCTCTTCTATTTGATATCCTCCTAGATATAGTGCCCTTGGATTCTGGAGTGCTACACATTCAGTTAGGATGTGAATGGAGGTTTCGTCCTCCTCCTCACAGAATCTGCACTCACTATCCTCTACTACTCTCAGTTTACTTAGGTGTCCTTTTAGTCGGCAATGCCCGGTAAGGATCCCTGTTACAATACATAGCCTGTTCTTGCTCAGGCAGATGCAGGCTTCCGATCTTTTCTGGTTATATTTACCCAGAAGTATCTTGGCCTGTTTGAGCCCCAAGAGATTGTTCCAATTATCGGTTCTTCTACTGCCTAATTCTTTTTTAATCTCTCCTAATATTATGTTACTGCTGATGCCGCAGAACGGTTCAGGTCCTACAAAGGGTGTTTGAGCCCCTTTTCTTGCAAGACTATCTGCAATCTCGTTACCCTGTACCCCGTTATGTCCCGGGACCCAAGTGAGAGTAACTCTATTTTTCTCGCCTAGCTCATTCAATTGTTCTAGGCATCTCCATACCATTTTTGAGCTGATTACGTAAGAACTCAGCGCTTTGATGGCTGCTTGACTATCGGACATGATGATAATCTCTTGTCTATGATAGTTTCTCTCGATGTTAAACTGGATACACTTCTCGATGGCGTGAATTTCCGCCTGGAAGATGCTTGGGTATTTTCCCATGCTTTCGGAGTGCTTGGTTCTCGGCCCATACACTCCTATTCCAGTTCCTTCTATGGTTTTGGAACCGTCCGTGTACCACTGAATAGCACGTCTTTCGGTTGCAAGCGCGATGAATTCTTGGCTCCATTCTTTCTTGCAGCCCAGCTCTGTGGTTTTGAAGTTTTTCACAAAACTGTACTTCTTTTGCATTTCATCCTGGGGCATGTCCCAGGTATCTTTAGTCCTGAAGCAAGTAGACTTTCGTCTGATTACTCCGCTCCTGATCATTCTATATCGTGTCCTTTTTGCCACATTCTCTATCATCAAATGTAGAGGGGTAAGGTTTAAGATCACCTCCATTGCGGCCGTAGGACAGGTTCTCATTGCACCAGTAATGCAAACACAGGCTAGTCTTTGTACTTTTGAGATATTAGCTCTCGTAGTAACTAAACTAGTTCTGTTACTCCAGGCTATAGCCCCGTAAGTGATGATTGGTCTCACTATTGCAGTATACATCCATCGCAGTATGTTTGGGTTACATCCCCATCGTTTACCCGCCATGTTTCTGCATACCATTAGGGCTTTTGTGGCCTTATTTACTACTTCCTTCTCATGTGTGTTCCAGAGAAGTTTGTTGTCCAGGGTTAGGCCTAGATATTTGACTTCATTTTTCCATTCTATATCTATCATGTCTAATTTAACGGTTTTGAGATTAAGTTTTCTTTTCATTGAAAAGGCTACTAGTGTTGTTTTTGTAGGGTTTATACTAAGTCCCACTTCACGGCACCATCTTTTGGTATGTTCTAGTCCTCTTTGGACTATATCACACAGGATATTACTAAACTTGCCACTAGCAAATATGACTATGTCGTCGGCATAACCTTGACAGGGTATGCCCAGGTCAGTCAATCTGCATAGAAGTTCGTCTACGATTAGGCTCCACATTAGTGGGGATAGAACTCCTCCTTGTGGACATCCTCTGGTTGTGCAGATGGAGATGGTGTCCTGCCCTATCTGTGTCTCTGCAGTTCTCGAAGATAACAGCTGAGCCATCCATCTGGATGTGATGTTATCTACTCCTCTGTATGCAAGTGCTCTTTTTACAGATTCGTGTGGCGTGTTGTCAAAAGCTCCTTCTATGTCTAGAAAGGCACACACAACCGTTTCTTTGTTTGTCAGTGCATCCTGGATTACATCAGTCAACTGTACCAGGGCAGTTTCTGTAGATCTTCCTGCTCGGTACGCGTGTTGGCTGTGGTGGAGTGGCACCCTCTCCAAGACTTCTGTTCTGATATAGTTATCAACAGCCTTCTCCATTGTTTTTAATACAAAGGATGTGAGGCTGATTGGACGGAAAGATTTAGGATGTGTGGTATCCTTTTTCCCTACTTTTGGAATAAAGGTGACTCTGGCCCTTCTCCATGCTTCTGGTATATATCCCAGCTCCAGACTGCTCCGGGATAGCCGGATTATGTGTGGTAGTAATTCCTCCTGTGCCTGCTGAAGCAGGGCAGGAAATATTCCATCCACACCTGGAGACTTAAACGGTTTAAAAGTGTTTACGGCCCACCGTAACCGATTTCTGCTGCATATATGCTTGGCCACTACAGCGGCCTCTCTTGGGGGTCTGCTTACCTTAGTTGTGTCCCTTATTAGAAAAGGTGTGCTTCCAGGAAAGTGAGTTTCGAGTAAGAGGCGAGCTCTTTCCTCCTCACTCTCCGTGAAGCTTCCATTTGGTTTCTGTTTTTCCTAGTACCTGGCACTAATTTTGTCAAAATCGACAGGAGTAAAGTACCCCTTGGAGTTTATGGGGGGAAAAATGGTTTCACCTGTCAAAAAGGTATTGGGATAAGTATTAAGTGTGTGAAGTTTAAGAAATGTAGCGCATTTTTTCTAGTATCTGGCACTAATTTTGTCAAAATTGACAAGAGTAAAGTACCGCTGGGAGGCAATGGGGCGAAAAATGGTTCCACCTGGCAAAAAGGTATTGAAATGTATATTACATGTCAGAAATATTAACTCCTAACTATTACTCGTTTAGTACCTGGCAACGGTCAAATTCCAATCCGCAAATTAGACATACTCTTCAGCTAGGATATCATAGTGATTTATAATGATGGAATGTGAATAGTATGCAGATATAGCATGAAAGTAATTATAACAATATAAAATATGCTAAATAAAAAATTGAAGTCATATATTAATAAAACAACACCCTTATGTATTTTTAATTTACCTCGAGATTTCCAGATCTGACACTGTTAGCCTTTTTCGTTTGATTTGTTATACGTTCTTCGGATAAATGGGAATAAATTAAAAAAAAATTCAAAATATTATTAGGTAGGTATATTTATTTACTGCTATACTATATACATAGAAATCAACACTGAAAGGTTTTCTTCTTTACATCTAAAAAATTAACTACATTGAAGGTCCAGCTCCATTTACAGATCCAAATACATCACTTGAGTTGCAGCAATTGCACCAAAGAAGGCAAGCGTACTAGCCACACTGACTACAGCAGTTGTGGTGCCAGTAGTGTTGACGATGGTACCCATACACATGCTAAGAATAAACTGAGCTAAGAACACCATACTGGATACGATAGCAACGTCTGTTCCTAATCCACGGATTTGCGTCGAGATTTTCTCTTCGCCCTCTAGAGTTGTTTCAAACTAAAATTTAGGGAAAAACTTGTTTAAACAGAAAATTCTATATTTATATAAAGAATGAAATTCAAAATGTGTGTATATTAATTGCTTGGTTTCAGTTTTTTATTTCATATTTAAAAATATAAGCCTAAAATGTTCTATTTCCACTACTTTATTATTTGTAACGTTAGCCCCCGATGTTAAAATTACGCCAGAGACGTCCTTTTTTGCCATTGTAGGTCTTCGACGTCATATGACTCAAAAGTGATGTCAGTATGAGTTTTGCTTTCGACGTCACTAAGACGCACGCAATAAAATGTTTTTTTGATGTCATCTTTCGGTTATCAGTAAAAGTTATTGAAAAACTGTATATTTTATCTATATGAAACAGTGTTTAGTATTGTAGCATTAGTGTTTAGTGTTATAGCACTAGTGTTTGGTGTTAGATTAGCAATCTTGCCAAATTTAATTAAATAAATAAAATATTAGTAGAAGTACCACTATGCTTAAAATGATGTAGGCTTTAAAAAGAACATTATTGATAATGTTCATAAGTCATTTTGTAATTCCAGATATATATGGTGGGAGGACGCTCCAATTTTAGGATGGCCGAGTTAGCGGTGTGCCTCTGCTCCCACAATATATTCTGGAAGGAATTTTGGGTAAATACAATATTTTATAGAGAAATTGCTCCTATAAGGCTCTCATAATGACTTTAGGGCGAATTAATCTTGGATTTCCTCTTTTTAATAAACAAGAAAATATTTATTTATTATAGTAGGTCAGTGATGTGATAAATGAAGGCCTGACACATGAAATTATGTCATTATATTTCATGTTTGGACATTAATAATGATATGTTTTTGTGGTGTTGTGATGTGATAGTATTTGATGATCGTTTTAATTAATTTTTAATTAATTTTTACTACACGAAGATTAAAATGACATTGTGTAGGTAACGATGTTCCCCAGTAACACCGTTCTAGGGACGCCTATGGTTTAGCATGCAGCCGTTTTTGCCAAGCAGAGACAAGTATATAAAGAGCTCCAAATTTAATTCTCGTCAGTCGAACTAAGGTATTGACAGCAAGACTCTCCTCTCCTGCTTCTGCAGAGGTATTGACTTTGTAGGCTTCCCGACGTCCCGACCCTTACCTGCAAAGGTATTGACTTTGTAGGTTTTCCTTTCCTGTGAATCTCTCCCACAGAGGTATTGACTTCGAGGAACTTCCATCTTCGTAACGGTAACTTAAGACTTGTCACATCTTCGCCCCACCATACTGGACCACTAAGCCACGCCGAACCGACGCACAAAATATATTTTGGGGAACAACATTTGAAGATACGACGATTCAAAATTTAGCTAGAACCTTTTCATGTACATATTGTAACTGTTAGAATGAAGTTTCATTTCCAAAGAACTCTGTCTCCTACTGTCTAAAATATACCTGCTACCTGAACCAATCCCAGGAGGGGTTACAATTGTTAATGTAAAAATTTAGTTTTAATCTTCGTGTAACACAACGGTGGAATGGGCACTTATAAAGGTAATTAAAACAGAGCACTTGCTTATAGTAAGGACAAGAGAACATCTTAAAGTCCGTGTCAAAGCGAAGTTGAGCAACCGTTTTCCTCCAGAAAACAACTACTCCTTTAGCTAATACCGCAACAGGCATTGCATTATTTCAAAAAGAAAAGAGGAGAGATTGAAAATAATTTTCAATACTCTAGTCTTGTTATTATTCCGCCTTGTTCTAGAGAATTAGGTACCATAGCAAGCTTTGATTTTGCTTCCTAAGTGCAGATTGCGTTACCATTTTTTACTCGTTGCTTGACTACCCACATTTTCTTAACCAGCTTTAATATATAAAAGAAAAAGTGTAACACATCAAGCACTAAAGTCGAGATTGTCTATTTCTTGCTGATGAGTCCTAATAAGGACGAAACCGGTTCAATGAAGACGTTCCCCTTAGAAAGCAAAATCAAAGCCAGAATGTTAATAATTATTTTCTAATTATGTATCAAAGTGTTAATGCAAAATTATAACTCTTCTGTTAGTCTGTGAATATTTAAAAACTCATCGGATAAATCACACTGATACGGCACCGTTTTTTTTAATTATAAAACTGGTAAACAAAATTTAAACTTTTTTTGTCACATGAAAACTTATATCAAATTTTGAATGTACTAGGGACACCAAACAATAATATGTGAATGAAAAATAAAAAAAAAATTGACACGTCAGGTTTCCTTGTCACATTAAAACAAATATTTTCGTAAAAAGTACAAACGTCAGCTATATTTAGAAAAATTATTGCTTAATATAGAATAAATACTTATGATTTTCGTGAATATTTGGCATCTGGAAGGTCTTTTTTAAGTATCCAACAATAATCTGCTAGCATTCCTGGACTCCATTTCCCTTGATAGCGATTCTCCATTAAGGAAATGTCCTAATTGAACCTCTCGCTTTGTTCGTCACTCACAGCACCCAAATTTGCCGGAAAGAAATCCAGATGAGAGTCCAGCATATGTAATTTTAATGACCTGTTACACCCTAAAGCTTTATATGACCTTATAAGTTCATTTATTAAGTCTTTGCAATTTTCCGATATATGGTTTCGTAGAAAATTTTGGACTACGTTCATAAAACATTTCCAGGTGAGTTTTTCCTGATCATTCAGTTTTTCTTTAAAGATCTTATCCTTTATCAGTTGCCGTATTTGTGGACCTACAAATACTCCCTCTTTAATTTTTTCCTCGCTGAGTTTGGGGAATTTCTCTTTCAGATATATAAATCTACTGCCATCTTTAGACATAGCTTTTACAAAAAATTTTATCAGGACGAGCTTTATGTGTAACGGTGATAAAAGAATGTCATCAGGGTTCACTAAATAATTATTGTTAAAATTTTTATGGCCTGGTGTGAGTGATTTACGCTTAGGCCACACTTTCTTTGTATAGTAATTTTTTCTGTCCTTACTATCCCATTTGCAAATGAAACAGCAAAATTTTGTGTAACCAAGCTGTAGTCCAAGAAAAAGTGCAATGACTTTAAAATTGCCACAAATTTTCCAAGCGTGTTTACTGTATTCATTTTTTCAAGAAGAAATCTCATATTTTCGTAAGTCTCTTTCATATCAGAACCATGAGCAACGCACACTACTTTCAAATTAGTTTTTAAGGAGTCAATGAACAATCACCAGTGCTTTGGATTATATTCAAAATTTAATAAATTCATCAAAACAGGAACGTTATTACAATAGACTGCTTTAGAAAAGTAAAGTTTTATTTCATCATCACAATGTCGAAAATAAGAAAATTTCGTATCAGGAGAAAGTAAATTCCAGTCGTTTAATCTAGACCCCAAAAGCTCAGCCTGGTTTTTAGACATTCAAATTATGTACTAAATCATTTAAATCACTTTGTGTCAATAAGTGCGGTTCTTTTCAAGTTGACGGTTCATAACTTGGGTCACTGTCTTCAGATACTTTATCGTGCTGACTTAGAACAAGTTCCGGAGTAGAATCCTGACTTTCTGATCGATTTGGAGGCTTTGGCATAGACAGTTCGGCGCTATGAACGATGGGTCTGTTGACCGAAGATAAGTTTAGATACTGGATAGTATGTTTGGACTTCGTTGTAATGCCTTTTGTTTGAGTCAAACAAAAATAACAATTACTTACATGTTCCTTTGTTTCGGTCTAAATCATTGGTATAGCAAATGGCATATGTATGGGTTCTTGTTTAGCTCAACCTAATAGCAGTCTCACACACGTTACACAGCATTTATGTGGAACGCAGGATTTATCTTGATTCCTCACAGGAAATCCAAAATAGTCTAAATAGCACTGTTCAATTAATGATGTGAAATTTCGACACTAAGATGTAAAAGGTAATTCTCCTCACACATAACAAAAACTGTCGGGGCTGTTAGAACACTTTCGTGGCAGAAGTGAATGTGTAGCTGTCATAAAAAAACTGGACGTGATTGAAACAAAATTTTTATATTATTTTTAATGAGAGTACACCAACATGAACAAAAATCATCACAAAGTTCGTGTGACAAAAACAGTGTTTACCAGTGTAATTAAACCAATCCTTTGACCAAGAAAAGTTTTATAAATTATTGTAAAATTATAATAACTTACTGTTCCTTTAGCATGATAGTGAGCTATGATAAGATACGGCATTGTGAATAAAGTTGAATACATAACACCGGCTGTCCAACTAAACAAAATTACTCCAACTTTGTGTTTTGTAAGTGCCATAAGCAGCATTCCGGTTGAGTAAATCAAGAGTCCTCCTACATATACCTTCTTAGCACTAAAAATTAATGTATATATAGTTTAAAGTTAATATTATGTAAAAAATAACAAATAAAAAAAAAGTTAAGAAAAATCAAAGTCTTTTTATAACAGAAAGTGTAGCAGCGATGACCTACTACTGTCTATACTCTATACCAGTGCTCCGCAACCTTTCCTCATCTGAGGCACACCAAACTGCTCCCTAGAATTTCGTGGCACACCAAAATCTAAAATATATTTATAGCAGTGGCGTAGCTAGGTCGGGGGTCAGTTCACTCCATGTATACTAATTATTTATGGATGTCCAAACTACCTTAGTTTTTTTTTATTGTTTTAAAATGTGAAGAAGCCCCTTTCAGATTTGGGGCATCAAAATTTTCACTCAGGACATAATACATATTTTTTTTTTATTTTTTTTTATTATTCAGATAGAATGAAAAATACAAATAGGTACATACATGAGAACTATACTAAATACTAGGTAGGACAGGTAGGTATACTAAATTTACTTCTGTTGACACGTCAATAGTAATAAATATTTTGACATGATGATGACTGATTAATGTGATACCTGCGCTTGCTTCGTTGAACACAAAAGTTTTATATTCGGCTCAATTTTAGACAGCGCAACTCTCATTTCTTGGTCAAGATCTTTTAAGCATGACCGTTTATCATTTTTAATTAATACAAGCGTTGAAAAACTTTGCTCACATAAATATGTTGTGGAAAACGGAAGTAGTGTGAAGATGGCCTTGTCGGTGATGCGTGGATATTCTGTCTTGATGGAAATCCAGAAAACATCTAACGGAACTTCGTCGAATTTAAGTTTTAGGGTCATATCATTACTTAATTCTGTGAACTCCTCTCGAGTTTGCAATGGCAGTGCTTCCGTGGAACTTATTGCATTGGTTGCGAAAGGATTTCGAATCCAATTGTATTGTTCCGTGTTGATAGAATGGAAATAGTATTCAAATTTTTGTTGAAGCATACTTAAATGTTGTTGGGCCAAATCCACAATCAACTGCTTGTTTTCGATCGTACTGTGGTTGGTCCTGTGATACATTTCTAGACATCCTTTTTGCAACTGTTCCTGCCAAAGTTCAAGTTTCTTTTTGAACCCTTGTAATTTATCGGAGCACGTCAATATATTTTCATTCCGTCCTTGCATTTTTTTATTAAGTTCATTCAGATGTTCGAATATATCCGCCATGTATGCAAGTTTGGCTATCCAGTATTCATCATGAAGGTGCTGGCATAGATCGTACATATCTTGACTTGAAAGAAATTCACGCACTTCGTAGCGAAGTTCAAACAGTCGAGCTAAAACTTTTCTCCGGGATAACCAACGAACTTCTGTATAAAACAGTAAGGATTCATGTTCGCTTCCCATTTCTTCACAGAGTATTCCAAAGATTCGCGAATTTAAGGCTCTCGATTTAATTATGTTTATGATCTTAATACATTCATTCATTGTGATCGAAAGCTGTTCGGGCAAATTTTTGACCATCAATGCTTCTCGATGTATGCAGCAATGTGTAATTTGTATTGACGGATTTTTTTGTTTTACACAAGATACAAAACCTTTCTTACTGCCCATCATTGCAGCAGCACCATCTGTACAAATAGCAACGCAATTGGTCCACTGAATATTATGTATTTTAAAAAAATTATCAGTTACTTGGAAAATTTGTTCACCGGTAGTTCTCTCTGGAACCTCCTTACAAAATAAATAATGTTCTTTAATAGAGTCCTCGTCAACGAAACGTACAATAGCCATCAGTTGTGCTTTATTTTTAATATTGGTTGATTCGTCGATTTGAAGCGCAAAAATTCCAGCCGAAATGATTTTTTTAATTAGTGTTCCCAAAATATCACTTGACATATCTTGGATACGTCTTTTAACAGTATCGGCCGACAAAGAAACTTTACTCACGTCCTTAACTTCGTTTGGCCCAAGCATAAGTCTAACAATTTCCATGCATGCTGGTTTAATAAGCGTTTCACCGATAGTGTGCGGTTTTTTTTGTTGTGCAATTAATTTTGCAACAAGGTAGCTTGCTTCTAATGCCTTTTCAGAAACCGTAACCGCCGATTTCATAAACTGCTTTTGTTTCTTATTTTGATCCAAGCGCCGTTGGAAAAATTGAATGTCTTTTTTGACGCAACTGGGATGATTTGTGATCAAATGACGGTTTAGTTTGCTGGGTACCATTGCTTCATTTGACAACTGTTCACCGCAAATGACGCATTCAGGCTTTGGAGCCGCTTCGTCGCCACACCAAGTGAAACCATATCGAAGGTAGTCTTGATTGTACTTCCTTTTCAGCACCTTTTTTGCTCTTTTTGCAGCACTTATGCTGGAGCTTGTGCTAGGTTCTTCGTCATCTGCTCGTGATTTCAGCAAACATTTATCCATATTTGAAGCACTATAGTTATTTATAAAAGTAGATACTGCAACAAAACTTAGTCCAGTTCACTTATTTATAAGGCACAAGAATTTATTTATATAGCAATTCACTATTTATTTTACTCTACGATTTATTTGTTTGCCCGCGTATTTATCTGATTCACTTGACTATTCGACTCTCTCTGAGTCTCTGAGCGACGACAGGCGCGCTTATATAGGCAGTGGCGATGTTCAGGAAAACATCGAGTCGCGCCTCGAACGGCACGGATCTTTCTAGTTTAGTCGCCTTCGAGAATCAAGCCGCCGCGCCGCGCCGATAGACGGATAGACGTTTACCATCGGCGCTGTTGTCAGATTGCTTTATTTTTCGCGGGTCTCGCTACAATACGAATCTGATTCGTATTGTCTGCAAGAGCGGCACACCTCAAGTCGGCTTACGGCACACCAGTGTGCCGCGGCACACCGGTTGCGGAGCACTGCTCTATACGGGGCATTAATGATGACGAAAAAAGAGCCAATTGATTAATTGTCTAGTTATTAAACTAATAATATTTATTTCATTTAAGTGATTTTAGGTCTTAAGATTTATTCCTATTCAATTAAATAATTTAAATAGTAATCTATTCTGTAAAATAATAAACAAAAATAGAGAAAGTGTTAATTTATAGCTATTTGTGTATCAAGAGCAGAAAGTAGCACTTTCGCAGTTGATACAGAAAGTTGCCGCGCGACGCGTTAGCGGTGCGTGGCAATCTGTCGAAACTGCCAAAGGACTTTCTGCTCAAATTTCACACAAGATTTTTTCTACGATAACACTAAAATAAAATACGTTATTTAATTTTATTAGAATTGGGTTACCTTCTTTCGTTATTTGACATAAGCCTACTATTCGAAGAAAAAAAATGTTTTAGTACTTATATGTCGGTAATGTAATTATTTATGATTTAATCATTTAATTATTTACGGAAAATACTGTATGCTGATTTAAAATATTAGAAAGTCAATTAAAATATGATAGATTAGTCTACATTTTGTTTTAAAATATCGATAAGCTTTCTTTTATTTAAATAAAAATAGTGCAAACGCAAAAAGTTTGCTACTGAGTATTAAGAATTTAATACTGCGGGTATTCAAATGTTTAATACTATATAAGACAGTAACTCTGATTAATATCAGCTATTAAGCTTATGTATTTGGATTAGTGTTGCTGTCACAAATAAAATAATAAAATACTGTCCGAACAATCTGGCCATCTTTATCTTTATCTTTGTCGGTTATATGCAGGTAGGGTTAGGTTTGGTCCATGATGTATGGAAAGCATTGCTTAGTTTGAGCGAGCACGTACTGAAGTCCAATCTACAGAAACTAACCATGCCAAATATTGAGTGCAACCAGCTAGATTGGAGGATCATTAGAAACATGGTGGAGGTAATCGTCTAAGATAACGGAGGCCAAATATTGGTCTGCGGTCATTCTCCCAGTGTCTAGGTTATAGCGAAGGTCGCCCCTTATTACTTCCATGCAACTGGAAATTGTAAAAGAGGATCCAGTTGCAGATACAACTATTTTGTTTTAGTGTCATAAGAGTTCCAGAAGGAACTATCTCTTAAGGAGGGAACAATGTAATGTGAGACATTTCCGACCAATCTGCTCATGTTCTGACCCTTCGGGTCCCTCTGCCTTGTTTAGACTTTTTTACGACCCCACTTGTCCTTAAAACTAGGAATATTTGATGAAGGGGATAAACCCCCCTTTACCCAACTATAGGAACGCCGATGAAGATAAACAGATAGCCGGTATGACTCATTCATTTGGAAATGTATTAGAACCTAGCCTTTATAGAAATAAATTAGAGAAATTGCTGGAGACGCCTGTCTAATAAATGGTGGAATAAATGGAATGAGAATAATCTAGCACATACACCTATTTATATAAAATTGAACTGTTTTGCACAAGAAGTCAGTCAGTTAAAGTCAATTCATAGCTATGAAAACATCGACAAAGTAAATGTGATATAATTAGTATGAGTAACTTGTTAAATAAATTGTATATGATATATTTATTTTGAAATGAAACAAACGTTATAATGGTGCCAGAAGTAGGATTGTAAATAAATTACTAAAAAACGGTGTGATTTAAAAGTGACGGAGTTGCATCGTTGAGAACAAGAGGATCGTGATCTGGAAACGACAAAGAAAAAAAGCAGAGCTGGCAGAGCGGAAGAGAAGGCGGCTTTTTTTAGAAATTCAATAAAATTGAAATATAAGATTACTGAAAGTGTCTTTTGCGTAACTATAGAAAAAAAATGAAGTTTGTTGACCGTCTGTGAAACGAGATATTAACAATCAAAATGTGCATAACTAACAAGCCTGTCATGTATACAAGCAATGCATTTATTTCAAGATATCACGAAAACGGTTCTTACCATATTTTTTAAAAACTAATGTAATGCAAATCAAGAAGTTATAAAACGCTGAATTTTTTGACCGTTTTGGTAAAAAGATATAGATTTTTAAAATAAAAATATTTTTAAAGCAGTCGACGCGAGTGGGGTACAACGATTACAACTTGGCAACATTGTAATTCTATCCTTAAAGCATGGTAACTCAAACGTCTGTTTGATTACTTTAGGCTTGTTTGGTTCTTTCGGAAACTAGTTCAGAATCACTGAATTACACTCGATCAGCTTAGAGGTTGTTATAACCTTGCGATGTATTCTTGAAAAATTAATTCGTTTACTGTATTTGAGAACTGGAATCGACGGTTCTGTTTGAACCAAAACAAACCGTTAAAATTAGTATGAGGAAGTCACAAATTTCTATAGATATACACACTCTCTTAATAGCCCACCTCATATATTTGCGACGTTGCTGGATGGATTTTACTTGAAATAATAACGTATCCGTATATACAGTGAGAATCTTAAGTCTTACCCCCCCCTAACTAACTCGTTACTGGAGTCTTGTTAGGAAAATCGCCGAGACAGGTCGATTTTTGTTTTCTACAATGTACATTATTGTATGATTAGTTTACCCTTAATTTCATCCCTTACTCGAGGGGAGCAACCCTTTCAAAAAATTTAAATAGCATGGGGTGGTGAGTGATAGCTCATTTGAAAGAGGGTTTTATTCTCTATTCAACCATGTAACAAGTTTTGAAATTTGCTTCATTAATTCTAGACTAATTTTTGTTTCAGAATAACGGAAATTAACGTAGCACACTCATCCTTAGAATTAAAATTCGCCCCTGCATGATTTCGGTTTTGGTTCAGACGTGAAGTAAGACTTTTTGCCATTAGAAGGTCACTATTAGATTAGTTGCTTTCCTATTTTGTGAGATTTTGTTATTTTTAAACATTAATAAATCAACACGTAATGAAGCAACTTTAAAATTTTTTTGCACGGTTGAATAGAGAATAAAACCCCCTTTCAAATGAGCTATCACTCGCGTAAACGCCCTAAGAACAGTACAAATCTAAAAACCGTACCGGTGGCTGCACAGCAAAGAACGGTGGTGTTTGAAACCAAAGAATAACACGGTTACTGTAGAGAAAAGAACGCCTATCATAGTGGAACCTTTAAAGTCTAATGAAGGTGTTGGTCAAGTTATCTAGAATATAGCGAAGACCATCCCTTTTTCGTTCAAGAAACTTCGTTTAAAAAAGGATCCAGTTGTAGATACAGCCATTTCGTTTTAGTTTCGCAATCTCATCATGCTCTGATCCTTTGGGCTCCTCTGCCTTTTTTGGCCTTTTACGACCCTATTTGTTCTTATAACCAAAAATATTTTATGAAGGGATAAATCTCCTTTACCCAACTATATGAACATCAATGCTCACCACAGATAGCCGGTATGAATCATCGGAAATGTACTAGAAATAAATTGGTGGAAACGAGAATATTCTAGCGCATACACCAATTTATATAAAAATGGGCTGTGTTGAACGAGTCATAGCTAGTGATGAGCGATATTTCACGAACTGTTACTTTTACAATAATGTTAAAAAGTAGCAGGTAATGATTGATACTAAAGTTGTTACCAAACCGTGACTGATTTTTTCGTTTCCGTCTTCTCGTCATTCGCAATCATTCCTTCGAACATTGGAATATTTAGTCAAATTTTACAGATTTCTTAAAATGACCAACAAGTTATTATTGAAAGAATATGCTGTAGGATAATATAAAATTGTGATTTTAATTAATTTTTAATCTTTCAATGACAATATAAATCACATTTTCTTAATTATTATATTCTTAAATTTTTTAAATTCATTCATAAGGTTCATATTTCATAATAAAATTAAACATAAATAGGTAACATAAGTACATCAATCTTGTTTCTATTGTAACGTATTAGATGTACATTATAGAATCAGTAGAACAAGACATTTAAAACAGTGTCACGACTTAAAATAACTGATATTTAAAAATCACAGTAATAAATAACGCTCTTATTAAAAAGTCACTAGTCATAGCTGTGAGAACATCGATAAAGTAAATATGATATAAATTATTATAAGTAAATTGTAAAATAAATTAGTGCTTAAGTATAAATAAATTAATTAGTACGTACTGAAAATAAATTATAAATATATTATTTTTAAATTAAACAAACGTTACAGTACTATGCTTAACACTTATTAACATGAGGTATAAAATGGATAAAAATCGTTAAAATTTCAAACATTTACTTGTATGAAACAATTTACACATAATGAAAAATATACATTATAAAAAAAAATGCAGCGGATCTTCTTATCTTATTGCTTATCTTAAGGAAATTTTTCATAAAATTTCTTTGTAATTGTAAAATAAATAAAAACACTTTTTTTTAAATTTAATTAGAATTAGTGTTCGTATAAGAAGTATAATAAGTAACACGATGAGTTATTAGTGCATTACGACTGCTTAGAAAACTTGTTACGTAATCTATTATATATAATAATTATTATCTGTCTTACCCGAACATTGAAATAAATTTTTCAATTTGTGTGGAGTAACAAGCACATGATAAAGAGTACATCGACATCCCCCAACATCCAAATCTCACTCCAGTTTCATATAATTCTCTAGAAACACTTCCTTCAACTGCCTAAAAAATATAAACCAAATTATACATACATAATACAATATAATTAATTGGAAATAATTTAAGCATAGTCCACAACTTAATTTTTAATCTGCTTCCAATCAGTATTGTATAACTATTACTAATTTTAATATTATTGCTGTTAGGTTCTCCTTTAAAATTATCAGTATATTTATTATTTTTACCATTTTTGAGCATGATTATTATTTATGATAGCTATCTATTAGATTATGCGCTACTTCTCCTAAACCTGACTATCGATCTTTTTTTTCCCCCTCCTTCGCCGGACATTCCTTAACTTCTCGATAATAATACCGCAATTCTTTTCTTTCGTAGCTCTTTTTCTTCTTTTAACTTTTCGTTCATATTATTAATTGTTTTTGTCTATTAATTATCTAATGTTGTTCTTTGTCTTAGATTCTAAGAACTCATCTTCCTGCATTTAACTTGTTAATTTGTTGTAATATAAGGTTCCATCATTCCAGAGAGGAAGCTGGACCTGCATGAAGAGTGTATTAAACTTGGTATGTCTTGATTTCTCGATCACTCCGTATATGTATTGGCCGTCACATGATGCGGTGTACCTCGGGGTTCCAGTTTAATGCCAGGTGAAAAATTTTGTTACATGATCTATCATTTTGGTTCAATCCCATAATTCTTCTAATGATATATAGGATAAAAAAATGAATTTATTAAAACATATAATTGCCAAATTAGTACTTGTGGTAGGGGAACCAGTGACACTTTTAGGTTGTTATTTGCGAAAGGATAAATAACAAATTTTTCGTTTAATATTACCTTGTAGAAAAATAAATTACCTTGCTGCAGTCCATGCACCGGTGTACTGCTCGACGACGATTTGTTAAAAAAGCCATTATACAAAATGTTAAAGCGATAAGAGTTGTAACAAGATAAGGGGTTCGGAGACTATCGATCTCAGAGCGTTTATGGAAATTTTAAACCCAGGTTAGTGTGTTGACGAATGTATTAAACTAAACCAGGGATAATAAATATTGTAATAAATCACTAATATCAAAATTCCCCACGGGTTTTAGTTCAACTTTGATTATTTATTGGTTGACATGGAAATGATAATTTTTTGGTAACCCAGTAACTAACTAGGGAATTTTGCTACAACTTGTTCCCCCTGAATTCTGAACTTATTTTCCAATAACCAACAACATTTATTGGAAAAATGTTCAACTGAAAGATTATTCATAAAACGGTCTTAGATGGCAGACATGAAATGTTCCTCGCTCTCTGTTATTATCACGGTACTCTAAAAGATATGTAACTGGAGTAATAACCTTTTTAATCCTATGCGGTCCCTCGAATAACAACAAGAATTTTTTTGTTTCAGCTCTTATCAGTGAAGATGTATTATTTGCTTTTAATAAAACTAAGTCCCCAACCTTAAACGGTTTATACGGCCTACTTGGGTGAAAGATCTTTCTGCGTTCAGCCTTTCCCATAAGCGTTTCCTTGGCTAGAATTAATTTTTCTGCTGCATTGATCTTATGCAATTCGTTGTTTGGGGGTCCCTGATAAAAACAAGGCAATATTCTTTTTTTATCGAGTCCCAAATGCAACTCGTTTGGACTGTAACCGGTGGATTCGTGACATACCGAATTAAGAAAATCTGCAAAACTCGATAGTTCATTCGCCCACTTTTTATGATTGTCAGTACAGTAAGTCCTCACTAACCTACCTAGCTCGCGCATTACTCGTTCCGCCGGATTTCCTTGCGGATGGCGAACTGAAGAAAATGTGTCCCGTGATCATTTAACACTGTCTCCACAATTCCCATGGCTTGAAAGTACCCTAAAATCAATCTGTTTAATATGGCTCTAGTAGTTGCTTTCTTAAGCGCATAGAAAGTAACGTATTTGCTGAATACGTCCAGTAAAACTAAAACATATTCAACTCCACCCCTACTTTTTGGTAGTGGCCCATATAAATCCAGGGCAAGAATTTCATTCTTTTTCGATGGAATTATGGCATTCAGTTCAGGTTTCGGCATTATTGCGGCCTTTGCCTTTTGACATATATCGCACACTTTGCATACCTTTTTGACATCCTTAAACATATTATTCCACTACATTTCCGATTTCAAAGCTTTCCACGTTTTGTATGCCCCAAAATGTCCATAAATTTCGTGGTATACCTTAGTAAATTTCTCCGCGAATTGCTTCGGTATACATAATAAATAAAATTCTTCATTACCACCCCTAATGTACAAAAAATTATTCGAAATTACAAAGCGCTTCCGAAGCTTTTCTTCGTACGGCAATTTCCTAATAATTTAGCCCAATTTTTCATCGTCCTTCTGATACCGATCTATACTTTTTAACAGGGATACTAATTCATTCGGCAATTTAGCTAAAGGCAAAATTTTAAAACAATTATCGCTTGGTGACGGTAGTCGAGGTGCCGTGTACCGACTAAATGCATCTGATATCAAATTCCTAGAAATAGAAATATACTTAATTTCGAAGTTAAAATCTTGAATGGCCAATGCATATCGCGATATTCGAGACGATAACAGCCTGCATGTCTTTAAAAAGGTAATTGAGTGATTATCCGTGTAGACTAAATTTTTTACCTAACAGATAAATTTTAAATTTCGAGAGCGCCCATACTACAACCAAAGCCTCTTTTTCATTGATATGATATCGCTTTTCCCTGTCTAACAAAACACGTGAAGCCCAAGCTACCGGTCTCCGTACACCGCCTACCATCTGAAATAGATGACACCCTAACGCATTGTCTGAGGCGTCCGTCTCAAGACAGAAAGGCACATCGTCCCTAGGATGATACAATAGTGTAGCCTGACTCACTGCATCTTTTATTTTCTCAAACGCGGCTTGTTCTATTTCTGTCCACCTTCACCTTGTCTTCTTTTTTAACAGATTTGACAAAATTGCTGTTAAACCTGAGAAATTCTTACAAAAAGATCTATCGAAACTAGCGAGACCTAAAAAACTTTGCAATTGTTTGACATTTTTTGGTACCTTGTAATCCTGTAACCCTTGAACTCGATTTGGATCTGGCCTAATCCCATCTGAACTAAGAACATATCCTAGAAATGGCATTTCCGATCTCAAGAACTTACACTTCTTATAATTCAAAGTGCACCCTGCATCTCTTAAAACTGTAAAAACCTTATTTAAATGTTCTACATGTTCATCAAAATTACTAGAAAAAATTAAAATATCGTCAACGAAACTTATTAAAAAACTATTAAAGTCATTATTAAACACTGAATTAACACACCTAACAAACGCACTAACACTTGTGGACAAACCAAAAGGAAGCACACAAAAACAATAAGTCTTTCCATCAAATTTAAAACCAGTATATTTCCAAGATTCTGGAGTGAGGGGAATTTGCCAGTAACCACTAGTAAAGTCTAAAGTTGACATAAATTTGGCGTATCTAACACGACGTAAAATTTCTTCCGTTGGTACCGGTGTATCGTGTTCTTTTTGCATAGAAGAATTCAAGAATCTAGCATCTAGACATAACCTAACACTATTATCTTTCTTCACTGTAGCCATTATAGGAGAAATATACGGCGTAGGCATTTGTTTGATAACTCCTAAACTTACCATCCTCTCTAGTTCTTTTTTGACTGCCAGTTGGTGTACCTCTGGGATAGGATACTGTTTTTGGCAAAATTCTCGATCATTCCTAAGAATTATTTTATGAGAATATTTGGCGATAATACCGGGTTTTTCTAAAAAAAATGTTTGCAAATTTCGTCAGTAATCCCTGCAGTCTTTGATGGTTGTCCTCTTCAATACCCTGAGCAATTACAGTGCCAGTGTCCTGAACTGTTTTCTGTATTTCGGCCACACCAAGTGGTTGATTCTTTCTAGTTAAATTTTTGATTTTACAAGAATCTAGATTACCATATTCGCAACCAGGATCTACTTCTGGAATTTTTACCCATGCGTTTTTTGTTTTTATTACAAACATTCTGTGCTCAATATCAATTTTTGATGGAACACTTCTAAAAAAATCAATTCCCAAAATCATAAACTGATAAATTCGGTATAACTAAAAACTCATGACAAAAATCGTGCCCTGCAATCTTAAAACTAATTAAAGATTGATATCGAACTCTTCTTTGTTTGGTTTTGAATGCCCCCGTTACTTTAACTCCCGTACACGTAAATGTAGGAATTCCACTGCCGAACGGTTCTAACATCCCCCAAACTTCCTCGTTAAGCGCACAAACTTCACTCCCCGTATCGAGTAATGCATTAAAAAATAAACCAAAAATTTCAATTGGTGATTGCGTTTTTTTTATTGCAATCCTCACCGTTGCATTCTAATAACAAATCATCACTAATATTACTTAAATTGCTAATAGTCCTTTCGTAATCCAACCCCAATGACGGACCTATTCTTGAGGTTGATTCTCGTTTTCCAGCTGATCTTCGGTATCATCTACATTATCGAGATTAAGCGCCGCAACTCTCGGCTTAGTAACATAATTTTTGTTTTTTTCGTATAAAGTACTTTTATTGTCGATCCTATCTTCTGACCCATTTTTATCAAATTTTTTAAAATTACTATTATAAGTGTTGGTTGACAACCCAGAAGACTTTTCAAAATAAGAGTCCGCGTGTTTTAGTCGATCTAACGCTACCGTGACCCTTTCCAACCCTATCAACGTACTAGAAATATTTGGAGGAAAAAGTCTAGCTATTCTCTGAATAATTTGAATCTCTGACATTGGAGGGTTTAAGTTTTTACTTAAATTTAAACATTTTAAGAAATGTTTCACGAATGAACCTGTCACATATTTATATTTTCGCAGCTTGTCTCTTACCTCTTCCTGAATATCCTTATGCCAAAACTTATTAATAAACCCTTCTTTAAAATTATCAAAATTTTCAAAATATTTAGCAAAAGCTTGATACCATAATAAAACTTCTCCCTTAAATTGTTGGTTCAGTAAAAATTTATAGTATTCGAAAGGAACTTTATCAATTTTGAACGCATATTCTAACTGATTTACAAAATCTACAGGGTGAATATTGCCCTGATTATCAAAGAACAGCAATTTCTTACTTGCTTTTATAGTAAAATCGCTTTCATTGTCCCTAATTAGGCGCTTCTCTCCATTATTGTTGTCATCTGGATTTAATTGTTGCAATCTAAAAATCACTTGATCAATAATAGTGGTAATCTCTACATTTTGTTCTGGACGAACCACACTCTGAAAAGCCTTTTCAATGTTTCGCCCAGAATGTGCTACATCCTTGTTAGTACTAACTAGCTTATCTATTTTAAAAACTTCGATGTTGCTTTCTGACACTTTCATGTCACTGTTACCTGAATTTTCCTTCTCTGCTAACGTTAATGAATCTCTTTTGTGGTTTTGTTGTAGAGAAGATGACTCTGGATTCCTTACAGCCCAGTCACTTCGATTTGGGCTTCCCCATCCTCGATGGCATTGTTTCTTGTAGCTGCTTCAGTGTTTAGCTCAACCGTTGCAGCACTTCTTGTGAAGTATGGATGGTTTTGTTGGTCCATATTTACTCTTAGATAGTTCCTGTTAGTTGGGCGCCAGTTGTAACAAGATAAGGGGTTCGGAGACTATCGATCTCAGAGCGTTTATGGAAATTTTAAACCCAGGTTTAGTGTGTTGACGAATGTATTAAACTAAACCAGAGACAATGAATATTGTAATAAATCACTAATATCAAAATTCCCCACAGGGTTTTAGTTCAACTTTGATTATTTATTGGTTGACATGGATATGATCATTTTTTGGTAACCCAGTAACTAACTAGGGAATTTTGCTACAGAGTGCAAGCTTAAAATTTTCAGAGTTAATGGAAAATAGTTTGCTGCCACTTTGGTAGCAGTGTAAAACCTTGCTGTCATGACCTTTAAGTTTAGAAAAGAAGCCTTATATTATGAGAAATTTTGCACATGGAGCTCCACAGAACGTTATATTTCGATGGAGCTTGTATCTTTTCCATAACAGTAAACAAACATTACCTATAATGCTGGTCTGTCATTCTCATAGCCTCCCATTATTACGAATGTGTGAAATATAGGTCACCAACTTTGTAAGGATATTTAAAAACGAGACTGCGCTTTCTGAACGTAAATATCGGAACCGTAGCGAAATCCGGCGTATAAGGTATAGCAGGGGCAGAAGTTGGAAAGGCCTTTGATAGAGAGGGGGTAAATGTCAAACCACGTCGGACAGCTTCAAAAATTTCGCGGTAATGTTTACCTGCCAGTATTGTTTCATAGAATAAGTAATTTTAAATTGTTATCGGCGGAACGGGACAATCGCATGTATTAATGGACTAGAAAAAATTATTAAACAAGTATTATAATATTCAAATCATAATGCTACAAAAGTTCAACAGGTGTTCACCAACTATTTACCCGAAATTGTTATTAACACTTATAAAATAATTTTGTACGCCAATGTATCGCGTCCACTTCGGCTAGCTTCGCCATAAAATTGTCAGTGTATGTGTACGAAGTGGGAGAACTGCGAAAAGCCTTTCCCACTTCTGTCCCTGCATTATCAATATCTTTGAATCCTCCCCTCTCTAACTAGACCAGTTTCAGTAAAATAGGTCGTTTAGTTTCTTTCAAGAAACGTATGAATAGAACAATACTACATTAGGTTGCCGAAATTTTGGAGGGCTTAAAAATCGAGAACCGCTTGAATCTTAAATTTCTTGTTAAACTGAAAAAAATTTGTTAACAATAGTTCATAGGGATCATTATATGTCATGTACTCGCATTTGAGTGGCACAAATGGTTTAACGAGGATCAGAAAGACATCGAAGACAACAAACATCCGTTTGACCTAGTCGAAAACTGACCAAAACATCGACAAAGGCAATCAAATCTTCCTGAATGATATACCTCAGTGTCAGGCAGTCAATCAGCACTATTACATCGAGGTCCTGACTTAACTGAAAGAACGACTAAGGAAAAGACGGCCGATGTGTAGAAAGATGACTCAGGATAATGCGCCAGCTCGTAACGCATTGTTCGTTAATCAGTTTCTAGTCAGTAAACGCATCCCAGTGCTCGAGCACCCTCCGTATTCGTCGGATTTGGCATGCTGCGACTTTTTCTTATTCCCAAAAATAAAAAGCGCGCTGAAAGGGAATCATTTTGAAACCGTGAAGGACGTAAAAAAAGGCACACCTGTTGCGCAGGTTTCAGTTGATGAACTGCAGCACTGATTCGAACAATGTAAGATGTGTACAAACCTGTATATACATAGATAAGAGGAGTCTATTGAAGGAGAAAAAAGCTGGATTGTAAAATTTTTTCAATAAACCATTTTTTCTTACCAGTCTGTATAATAGAAAAGGGAATAGATTTTGGGGAGAAGCTGGCTTCCTGGAATAAAAACAGGCAAGAAGTGTTTCTTAAAATTCATCTCACAGTGCCTTTTCGCTTTGCTGTCAAGGCTTTCAATTATCATTAAGACCCAACTCAATTTATTTCACGATATAATCACGATTTTTTAGGTTAGAAAGCTTCGCATTATCTATTTTTCATTCGAAGTAATACCAGACGTTACATAACACGATGTGTTTAATAAAACGTATGTCTCGAATTAGCACGGTTGCGATTTTCTGGTAATTACCACCTTAGATGACACCACCTCATCGAAAGTACGTTTTGAAACCTTAACATAAGTTTCTTGAAATAATTAGGTCAAAATAAAAGAATATATTTTGCGTTTTAGCTTTTAAATAATATAAAAAATGGTGGAAGTCACATAAATCTTAAAAATTTGTAAATATCACTTATTAAAATATTATGAATTAAAAGTAAAACAAACTATAGACTTTCCACCGTTATCGTTCAAAGCTGTATTTTTTTGCGGTAAAAAGTCGCCATTACTTGTCATTGACAACGCGTTGACATTGGACTTAATAATATATTATTCTATTATAGAAGAAATTGAGCCATCCGTAAATATAACACATAACAATTTTCCAAACTTGAAAGGTCTCGGTAGAAAACTTTTTTTAAATAACTAATGTGTAGGTTTCAAGATGCTTTTATGACATAACGTAGCCTTCAGGAGAAAATTGCGTAACTCTATTTGACAAATAATACGTAACAATGTTTAAAAATTTGACTTTAAAAATATTTTTTATATCTCCTGTAAAATTTCGTCAGATGGAGTTCCGCAATTATCTCCTGAAGGCGACTATTAATATTTTCTACAACTGCTCATTGAGCGGTTCTCCACTAGTGCATCTGCAGTAAAAAATTTCTATCTTCTACATAGCAAAAAAGGAACATGCATTTGTAATATGTAAAAGTCTTCTGGTTCCCATACCATATTTAAGGTCTTATACTCATATAAGAGTTGATATTAATTTGATCCTCATATTAAATATTCTTAGTTTGAATTGACAAGCTGCTTAATTTTCATAACATTGAATGCGCTCACGTGAGCTCCAATTCGAAAATAATTGGTTGAAACTAAACCGACGCGACAGGCCATCTTCTATTCTCTTCGCGTATATGGCAGAAGCAATATTCTCACCGACCGAAAGACTTAAAAACTAAACGGCTTGCATCGCCATGTTGTTAATTTAATAATTCTTAGCAAATATTGTACTAAATAGCTTTGTGATTAATTTTCTCAGTCTAAAATAATAGTAAAAGCTCTTTTTTATGTGACTAGCAGAATAAAAGTTATAGTGAAGTCGGTGAGTTTTCATTCTAAATCACCTATCGTTATATCTAAAAACCAGTGCATCTCATACACAGTGTATACCGTGCCCAAAATAATTTATATTATGCAGAGAATGACAATCAACTTTTTCGGATAATGTTGCTGAAAAATGTTAGAAAATAGCTTACCGTTGGGTTTCCATTAAAAACTGCCTCTCCAACGAAGTCAGTAAAATACAAGGAGTAACAGACGTGCGCCATCCAACAAAACAGATTGGTGAGACATAATATTCTTATAGACCTAGGCATGTAGATGATACTCTTCAAATACAAAAATAAGGATGCATTCGGGTCTGGGATTATGCTTTTCCTTGGTTGATCTTGATTCAGTTTGTTGTTTTCGTCACCGATTGGGCAATATGCTGCTTGATTTGTCTGAAATAATTTGTTTACAATTACAATGTTTCTTGTAAATCCTCAAAAGGATATTTAGTGTTTAATATTTTCATTAAGTGCAATTTTTCCTGGTCACAAAAAAAAGAAATACCATTCTCAAAATTACTGTATCATTGTTACACAATAAATAACTCAAATAGATAATGAAAACAAAACATATAGCAAATAAGCTGAAGAAAACATGAGGAAAAACCATATATTTAACAGCCATTTCAACAAAACACATAAAATATCGATGTAACGCTCAAAAGAATTTTATAAGATATATAATAATAATAATAATAATAATAATAATTAATAATAATAATAATAATAATAATAATAATAATAATAATAATAATAATAATAATAATAATAATAATAATAATAATAATAATAATAATAATAATAATTAATAATAATAATAATAATAATAATAATAATAATAATAATAATAATAATAATAATAATAATAATAATAATAATAATAATAATAATAATAATAATAATAATAATAATAATAATAATAATAATAATAATAATAATAATAATAATAATAATAATAATAATAATAATAATAATAATAATAATAATAATAATAATAATAATAATAATAATAATAATAATAATAATAATAATAATAATAATAATAATAATAATAATAATAATAATAATAATAATAATAATAATAATAATAATAATAATAATAATAATAATAATAATAATAATAATAATAATAATAATAATAATAATAATAATAATAATAATAATAATAATAATAATAATAATAATAATAATAATAATAATAATAATAATAATAATAATAATAATAATAATAATAATAATAATAATAATAATAATAATAATAATAATAATAATAATAATAATAATAATAATAATAATAATAATAATAATAATAATAATAATAATAATAATAATAATAATAATAATAATAATAATAATAATAATAATAATAATAATAATAATAATAATAATAATAATAATAATAATAATAATAATAATAATAATAATAATAATAATAATAATAATAATAATAATAATAATAATAATAATAATAATAATAATAATAATAATAATAATAATAATAATAATAATAATAATAATAATAATAATAATAATAATAATAATAATAATAATAATAATAATAATAATAATAATAATAATAATAATAATAATAATAATAATAATAATAATAATAATAATAATAATAATAATAATAATAATAATAATAATAATAATAATAATAATAATAATAATAATAATAATAATAATAATAATAATAATAATAATAATAATAATAATAATAATAATAATAATAATAATAATAATAATAATAATAATAATAATAATAATAATAATAATAATAATAATAATAATAATAATAATAATAATAATAATAATAATAATAATAATAATAATAATAATAATAATAATAATAATAATAATAATAATAATAATAATAATAATAATAATAATAATAATAATAATAATAATAATAATAATAATAATAATAATAATAATAATAATAATAATAATAATAATAATAATAATAATAATAATAATAATAATAATAATAATAATAATAATAATAATAATAATAATAATAATAATAATAATAATAATAATAATAATAATAATAATAATAATAATAATAATAATAATAATAATAATAATAATAATAATAATAATAATAATAATAATAATAATAATAATAATAATAATAATAATAATAATAATAATAATAATAATAATAATAATAATAATAATAATAATAATAATAATAATAATAATAATAATAATAATAATAATAATAATAATAATAATAATAATAATAATAATAATAATAATAATAATAATAATAATAATAATAATAATAATAATAATAATAATAATAATAATAATAATAATAATAATAATAATAATAATAATAATAATAATAATAATAATAATAATAATAATAATAATAATAATAATAATAATAATAATAATAATAATAATAATAATAATAATAATAATAATAATAATAATAATAATAATAATAATAATAATAATAATAATAATAATAATAATAATAATAATAATAATAATAATAATAATAATAATAATAATAATAATAATAATAATAATAATAATAATAATAATAATAATAATAATAATAATAATAATAATAATAATAATAATAATAATAATAATAATAATAATAATAATAATAATAATAATAATAATAATAATAATAATAATAATAATAATAATAATAATAATAATAATAATAATAATAATAATAATAATAATAATAATAATAATAATAATAATAATAATAATAATAATAATAATAATAATAATAATAATAATAATAATAATAATAATAATAATAATAATAATAATAATAATAATAATAATAATAATAATAATAATAATAATAATAATAATAATAATAATAATAATAATAATAATAATAATAATAATAATAATAATAATAATAATAATAATAATAATAATAATAATAATAATAATAATAATAATAATAATAATAATAATAATAATAATAATAATAATAATAATAATAATAATAATAATAATAATAATAATAATAATAATAATAATAATAATAATAATAATAATAATAATAATAATAATAATAATAATAATAATAATAATAATAATAATAATAATAATAATAATAATAATAATAATAATAATAATAATAATAATAATAATAATAATAATAATAATAATAATAATAATAATAATAATAATAATAATAATAATAATAATAATAATAATAATAATAATAATAATAATAATAATAATAATAATAATAATAATAATAATAATAATAATAATAATAATAATAATAATAATAATAATAATAATAATAATAATAATAATAATAATAATAATAATAATAATAATAATAATAATAATAATAATAATAATAATAATAATAATAATAATAATAATAATAATAATAATAATAATAATAATAATAATAATAATAATAATAATAATAATAATAATAATAATAATAATAATAATAATAATAATAATAATAATAATAATAATAATAATAATAATAATAATAATAATAATAATAATAATAATAATAATAATAATAATAATAATAATAATAATAATAATAATAATAATAATAATAATAATAATAATAATAATAATAATAATAATAATAATAATAATAATAATAATAATAATAATAATAATAATAATAATAATAATAATAATAATAATAATAATAATAATAATAATAATAATAATAATAATAATAATAATAATAATAATAATAATAATAATAATAATAATAATAATAATAATAATAATAATAATAATAATAATAATAATAATAATAATAATAATAATAATAATAATAATAATAATAATAATAATAATAATAATAATAATAATAATAATAATAATAATAATAATAATAATAATAATAATAATAATAATAATAATAATAATAATAATAATAATAATAATAATAATAATAATAATAATAATAATAATAATAATAAATAATAATAATAATAATAAATAATAATAATAATAATAATAATAATAATAATAATAATAATAATAATAATAATAATAATAATAATAATAATAATAATAATAATAATAATAATAAATAATAATAATAATAATAATAATAATAATAATAATAATAATAATAATAATAATAATAATAATAATAATAATAATAATAATAATAATAATAATAATAATAATAATAATAATAATAATAATAATAATAATAATAATAATAATAATAATAATAATAATAATAATAATAATAATAATAATAATAATAATAATAATAATAATAATAATAATAATAATAATAATAATAATAATAATAATAATAATAATAATAATAATAATAATAATAATAATAATAATAATAATAATAATAATAATATAGGGGGTGGGTTGGCTCAGTGGTTAGAGTCATGACTCTGAGATCGGAAGGTCTCAGGATCGAATCCCACCGGTGGCAGGAATTTTTATTTAATTAAAAAAAAATTAAATATTAATTCTAATGCATAGGTAGGATTCCCCACTCGACCATTCACTGTTGGGTTCTAATTAACAGTGCTGTTCCTAAAGTGGCGCTGGGAAACAGTAACAAAGCCTACACAGAACACGAGGCTAATGGCCGTAGTAGTCGACGCCGATGACCAAATTAAAAAAAAAAAAAAAAAAAAAAAAAAAATAATAATAATAATAATAATAATAATAATAATAATAATAATAATAATAATAATAATAATAATAATAATAATAATAATAATATTTATTTACCAAATAAGTACAATTATATAATTTGTATAACATTTTCATGGCAAATGAGAAAATCATCCACAAAAGACAAGCTTGTACGTGGACTAATAATTGATCATCTGTCATGAGCAAGCTTTACAGTTTTAAACAATAATGTAAACATACAATTTTAACAATATAGAATAAGGGACAAATATAACATTTATAAATAGATTAATCTAATAAGATTTAGAAGATAGTTATTAATTTTGTAAATAGGTTTGCTCCAAAATATTTTAATTAAATATGTAGAGGTTAGTATTTTAATTAGTATTATCCTAATAATAATATGACGTATTAAAATATAAACTAAAATTAAAAAATTAAAAAATTTAAAAATGACAGCTTTAAAATATATTATTTTTAACCCGGCATTACTTTGGCGGGGTCTAACAGACCCCAGACGAATTAAAACTGCCTAAACTAATTCTTAAACTGCAAGTACGTAGATCTGGTTGCCTATAGCTTCGTCAATAACATCGATCGGCAATTCTGTCGGTCGGTTTAGTCGTGCTGGGAAGTTTGGAGAATTTACATGTGTTTAAAGTGCTCTGGGGTCTGTGACACCCCACCTGGGTTATAAAGTTATAAAATTGATTAGACTGTAATAATTTTTCTGAGATCTAAAGTTATAAGTTTTTAGT